CTCTCTCTCTCTCTCTCTCTCTCTCTCTCTCTCTCTCTCTCTCTCTCTCTCCACTTTATCTCCTTATGTGTAGGAAGGGAGCTGACACCCCACTGGTGCTGTGAACCCAGTCAGTCCCTTGCCCTCCTCTCCCTGCTAGTCCCTGCCCAGTTCAGGTCCTCAGGCTAGTGACCCACATCTAGGAAACAGAGCAACTGAAAACAGGTGTTTGGCTTGAGAATTAGCGTTGCTAGGCAGCAACCGGGGGCAGCAATCTGTAGTCCACACAGTACTTTTACAACTTTGAAGTTACATTTGTGTATGTTTGTATGTCTATGTATGTGCATGCACGTGTGCACATGCTCGTGTATGTACACTCATATGAGTACAGGTGACCATGGAGCAAAAGACATCAGATCTTATGGAGCTAGAGTTACAGACACTTGTGAGTTCCCCACTGTGTGTGCTGGGAACTAAACAAGTGTTCTCTGCAGGAGCGGTGTGCACTCTGACCCACTGATCCCTTCCACCAGCCCTGCAAAGTTACATTTTAAGTGATTATATAAGTAACCACATAAAAACCTCAACTTGGCCTCTTGGCCTTCTTAGACTAAAATATTATCAATCTGATCCTTTGTAGAAAAGGCTTCGGGTCTGGAGAGATGACTCTGCAGTTATGAGCACTGGCTGCTCTTCCAGAGGACCCAGGTTTAATTCCAACACCAGCTGTCTGTAACTCCAGTTCCTGGAGATGTGATGCCCTCCTCTGGCCTCCACAGACAGCAAGCATGCAAGGTATACAGATAAACGTTCAGGCAAAACACCCATGCATATGAAATAAATAAATATTTCTAAAAGAAAAGCCTTGCTAATTCTCACTTTAGAAGTTTCTAGAGTTTACTCTCCCATGACTTAACCCTTGGTCATCAAATCAAGGCTACTCCCTAGGCTTCTTTGGGATACGAGACATTGTATTTTATCAACATTCTTGGCTAAAGTTGGTTCAAAGTAAAGGTTCTAGTTTTAATTACTTACAACCAGACACACCCCCTTGAGCTGATAAGGAGCCAATTGGAGCAGGAACTGGGGGGTGACTGGTATAACTGGTTATTACTGGATAGGGACAGTTGATGCAGGGGAATTCACTCTGAGCTTTCCTCAAGTCTTCCATGGGCAGAGCAAAGCAGTTACAGCTGTCCTTGCAGCTATCAGAACCAGCGATGGCCATTTACATTGTTGTTGTTTTAATCTCCTTGAATAAATTATCCCTAGTCCTTCCTTATGAAAATAAACTCTATTTTTGAGTAGTTCCTGCAGACATAACTCCTGGTCAATACAGTGAAACATCCCGTCCAGTTCAAGCTTGGGGAGCAAAGGGTGGTAGCCTTAATGATGTAGCCGGAAGCCCCTCACCACAAAAACCTGTGTTTGTAGTGAGCAGGGGGAGGGATTTTCCAGGTTTCTCTTTGCCTCTAGACAGCTCTAGGTGAGAAGGGCACTTTCGGGGGAACAGACTAATGGAATCCATACCCAGCTCCCCCACCTCATAGACCAAGGCAGTAGATCTCAACTGTGGTAAGTGGGTGTTGCCAACACGGACCAGGAATCCCGCTCAGCTACAGTCTCTTCTATTTTCTACCAGGCAATCCAAAAGGATCCTCTGAAGATGGAAAAAGAGTCACATCCCCTGTGCACTTTCTTGTCAGATTTCCTTTATTTCCCCTTTCACTAGCGACTGAGAATCTTTAACCTGCACTCAAGGCCCCGCATGCTACGGCTCCTGTGGACAAATGCATCTCACCTCCCAATCCATTAACCACAAGGAGCCTTTGCACATGCTGCTCCCTCTGTTTGGTCTTCCTTTTCACTCCCAAAGTATGCAGTCTTCCTTCAAATCTCCACAGGGAAGCCTTGAACCCACTACAGCTACCGACAGCATCTTACAGCTCTCCTGCTTAGCACCACTCCTGTTTGTTCACTCGAAGAGTGGCATGGCCTTTCCACCGTGTCCCAGAATGCTGGAGTCTCTGAACCGAGCACGAGCGGTTTTTCTATTTCTCCTCCTCTTCCTCCTCCTTCTTCTTTGTTTTTCGAGACAGGGTTTCTCTGTGTAGCCTTGGCTGTCCTGGATCTTACCTTGTAGACCAGGCTGGCCTCGAACTCACAGACTCACAGAGATCCACCTGGCTCTGCTGGAGTGCTGGGATTAAAGGCGTGCAATACCACCACCTAGTGAAACCTTTGTTGTGCAAAGTTGCAAAGTCTCTCTCTCTCTCTCTCTCTCTCTCTCTCTCTCTCTCTCTCTCTCTCTCTCTCTCGTTTGTTTTTCAAGACAGGGTTTCTTTGTAGCTTTGAAGCCTGTCCTGGATCCAGCTCTGTAGACCAGACTGGCCTCGAACTCACAGAGATCTGCCTGGCTCTGCCTCTATTTCTTCTTCTAGAATGTTCCCCCCACCCTCCCATCGGGGTTTGTCTTCGGCAAGCCTCCAGCTGTGTGAGACTTAGAGATGTGGTTCAGACTACCCATTTTCTTGCGTGGTGTGTGTGTGGTGTGCGTGTGGTGTGCATGTGTGCATGCGTGCATGCATGCATGTGTGTGCATGTGTGAGTGTGCGTGTGCATGTGTGTGTGTGTGTGTGTTGCCCACATGCATATGTGTGTACATGTTTGTGTACAGGCACATATGTGCACAGCATGTATGTATGCATCAGAAGACAACTTGAGTATTGGTCCTCATCTTCCACCTCGTTTTAGACAAGGCATCTTTGTTGTTTGCCATGGTACCACACTAGGTGGCTCACAGGCTTCCAGAGATTTTCCTGTGTGTACCTCCCATTTCATCATAGGATCACTGTGATTATAGACATGTGCTACTACATCCAGCTTTACCTGAGTCTGGAGACATGCTTGCAATGAAAAAATGTACCCACCCTGGACTTTCTAAAGCATGAGAGACTTCATGCAAATCTGTAGAGCTGGGTCTTGCTCTAAGAGGAGGGAGATCTTGTGGCAGGGGCATGCGCTCCGCATGGTAGCTACCATCTGGAGCTGAGCTGTCACCAACCCTTGCTTGGCCTCACTCATTCTACCACCTCTCTGGCTTGGCTTGCCTGGACACATCGTGGTCCTTGACTCCTCCCTTCTAGAAGGATGGGCTGTGGCTTCTTTCCCTCACCCTCTCTCAGTGACTTGATTTCTTTCCTTCTTTCTGGGGTTCTAAGGTCAGGTCTGGATTTGGCCACCTGTTACCACTGAGAAATTTGGCCACCTGTTCTCCACCTGTCGAGATTTCAGAGCATCTGTCAGGAGCATAAGCACACTAAACACTACTGTGGCCTAATAATCACCCCTACTTAGCAAACACTAGAGCGTGGCCTGGCTCTCAGGAGTCAGACCTTTGCCTCCTCCACAGACACTTGTTCAACACCCACGCTGTGACAAGCTCTACTCCAAGGACAGGGACAAGGCTGTGACAAGGCTGTGAACACAAAAGATTATTGCGTCGTAGAGATGGCGTCTGGGGGTTGTGGGGTGAGAGCAGACACTATGTTACGTAATGCTACTAAGCGGTGTGTACACAGACCACCCTGAGCACAGAAGGCAGGAGGAGACAGAAGTGGGGCGGGATGTGGAGATGCTACACAGCAGCCATGAGTGACGACAAAGATGCTAAGAACAAGCCAAGTGGAGAAGGGAAGGAAGACTCCATGCCAAGGGGACCCTGTGCAGAGGCCTGCCAACTCACCCTGCTGGCCTTTCCTTGAGGCGCTGAGACACCCCCAACTTCTTACCACTTCTGAGCAAATACAGCTGTCCCGTGGTGTCTGCGGGGTGTGTGTGTGTGTGTGTGTGTGTGTGTGTGTGTGTGTGTCCCAGATTCCTCTCACACGCCAGGGTCTGCAGGTGCCTAAAGCCGGTATATAAAATGCCTCCTGTTTGCCTATAACCCACACATACCCTCTCATAAACTTTAAATCACCTCTGGATTACTTTCTATTCCTGGTGCTATGCAAACACTATATGAACAGTTATTTTACTGTCTTCTTTAGACATAACATTTTTTTTAAGGTTTGTAGATGTTCATTCAAGACAAAACTTACTCACAAAATATTTTCAATTTGTGGTGGGTTGAATCCACAAACATGGAAACCAGGGATACAGTTTTAAAAAGTATATCCTCTTAAAATTATCAGCTGGCTTGCCAGGTTCTCAGAACCCAGTATAAGTCTTTAACAGGGCACAGTAAGTCTGTCCCACCCACTTCTCTGACATCACCTCCTGTGCAGTTCCTGGTTTGCCAGTTGAGAAAACATGGCAAACTTTGAAATGGACAACAAAACTTACTGGTAGGACCCCCTGTCCTTCCTTCCTTCCTTCCTTCCTTCCTTCCTTCCTTCCTTCCTTCCTTCCTTCCTTCCTTCATTTATTTACTTGATGAATTACTTATTAACTTAACTGGGGTTTGAATCCAGGGCCTCTTATAACTAGGCAATGCTCCACCACCGAGTTTCATCCTAACCATTCACATTTTTATTTTGAGTCAGGGTCTCACTAAACCACCCAGGCTGGCCTTGAACTTGAGATCCTTCTGCTTCTGTCTACTTCTCTGGATTACAGGTCCGTGCCATTAGGCCCAGGCCTGGTATCCTTTTCATAGAATGCTAGGCATTTGTCTACCAGATCCTTCTAAGGTATCTGATTCTTTGGTGGTCAGTAATTTTACATCTGTGTTGAAAACTGATCATTGGTCCTGATGCAGACGCTTCTTACTCATCAAGATGCAAATGGGTTTTATCCAGTGAAGACTCAGCCAATTTCGTTTCCTGCGGAAGACACCAGTGAGTGACACCTCACTAGCAAATCTCTGTGTCGATTGCTTATGTAAGTTGCCTGTTCATTAGCCTCTCTTTTGAGCTGACTTTATATCATATGCTGTTAAGATGAAATGTTAATAAAAATCTTTGGTGGGTGTTCACTGTGTGTTTCTCGCAGGATCATGATTTATACTTAAAAAACAGAGTCTTTAAACATGTCCCGCAAATGTAGCCATGTTGAGTATCTGCAGGTTCTTGAAAACAATCATTTGCTCTCATTTCTGCTTGCTGCAGCTTATACCATGAATACCAAACTGGTTTTTGTCCATTTCCAATACCCAGCTCAATACCCTCCACGTGTAGCTTTTACTCTGTAATGTCAATTGCCTACAGAGATGCTGATCCTCCTGTAAACTTGGGTTCTATTATATGCAGTTATTTTATGTTCCTTAGACCTGGGCCTCTATCATTTATGGGCTATGTCCTATTCACTGTGGTTTGCTTGTGTCTAGACCACCACCTGGCACCCCTCTCGAGCATGGAGGAATGAAGGCTGGAATAATAGTCCAAAGTGATTCTTCAGTGTTCATGGAATTAAGAATTGAACTCCTTATTTGGACTGTCACCAACTCCTTCATCAGAGTGACTAGAAGATATGCACAGAGGATTTTAAGGATTAAGTTTCTTATGAAAACCCCTAAAACTCTGCTACCTCATCTCTATTTAATAGGAGGCCTTGGCTAAAAGGAAACACAAATCAAGTTAGAATCCCGACATTGCAACCAGCTGTCACCTAGATCCAAGTGTCTGCTCCACTGCTATCCTCTAAAGTGCCAGCTGGTTGCAATGTGCCTTTATTAAAATGAAATGAAAGTCTTATCTGGAGAAGCTCACCATGCTTGAGCTCGCAGTATAACTTTAAGGGTGGTGGCCATTTCTCCTTTCCTGTCCTTGGAGCCCCAGGGCCAGTGATACTATTGGCAGGTGCATAAAATGGAGCAAGATCTAATCTCCCTTGAGTAACCGTGGGTGCCAACACCCAGGAACACTCCACCCTGGGCACACAGAACTACAAAGGGCCTTTCCATCAAGTCTCTCCTTAACTTCTAGGGAAGGCAGCAAGGTCCCTGGGCCTTGGAGCTGGATCACTCACTACAACTCTGGCCGTCCTGTTTCCCAGCCCGGTCTCCGATCGAATAGCATCATGCTTTGTTTTCCCCTCTGGAGTAACAGCGATCCTGACTTTCTGGGGTTGCTATGAGGATTAAGTGATAGTTGACAGAGTGTACTTTGTGCAGTACCCTGCACATGGCAGCAGTCAGAAACATTCATTCCCTCTGCACACGCTCATCATCAATAGCCGAGGCTTGTGACTTCCCTCCAGGCCAGCCTCGCCTTCCCTAGGGTTACATCTGCACCATTACCTCATTCTCTGCCGTTCTGCTTTCTTTTTTATCATCAGCGCCTCCTTGGTCTCTGTCAGGTCTCTTGGCTTTACTTTTCTCACTCTGCTTGGACTTGGCACCCTCCGGAGCCCTAGTGATCTTGAGTTCCAGTTCATCCTCCTTGCCTGAGTCCTCTGGGGGAGGGTGTCGAGTTTCCCGAGGTCTGGCCTCGTCTTTCCTCCTGGACCTTCCTGGTATTTCCTGCTGCTGCTTGGGGTGTTTGTCCAACTTGGCTTTGGGCTCCTTTCGATAGTAGCCATCTTCTCGGCCTTTGTAGCTGGACAAAGAATGGAGTGGGCTGGGGGACCCTGACCTCGGGTACTTTTCCCGGTGGCCCCTTCCTCCTTCAAGTCGCTCATCCAACTCAGCTTTGTCCAGTTGCCTGGGGTAGTGTTTCCGGTCGTGTGCCCAAACATCTGTCCTGTCCCTCTTGTCCTCCCCGTTCTCCCTCCAGGGGACCGGCTCTCGGTCATCTTCTCTCCTTGCATAGGGAGAGTGCTCCCAGGAGTCCCGGCCATTGCCCCAGTCGGCCCGAGAAGGGCCTGGTGGACTGTGGGAAGAGCTGCAGGAAGTAAAACTTGGAGTGTGGGATCTCGGGGAAAGCGATCGGCTCACTGGGCTTCGAGAACGGGGCCGCTCTGCACCGTATCTGGGAGGGAGGAAAAAACAGCGTTTAGAAGCTGCAGAGCCCGTACCCCACACCACCCAGATGTAAACGCACATAGTTCCTCTCAGAGATGTCCTTGGAACACCTACCCACCTGGACATTTGTCAGTCACAAGCCAGCCCGACACAGGGTGGCCAGGAGCATGCCTGTCCTCCCTCTTGAATTACAGGCATGGATTTCCACCTAAGACGCTCTGCCCCCTCCCCTACAGTCTGCTCCTCAGAGCTTGGAAAGAGATAATATTGGTTTGGCCTAGTCCTACCTTACTTCCTCTTGGAAGCTCTGTTCAGGGTACGGACCCCAGGAGAGTCTTTTCCTGGGGATGTACAGGGTGAGGACTCCGAGGAAAGGGCTAAGTGGTGCGCTTGCCATGTCTGTCCTTGGAGACACTGACTACCCAGATCCAATGTTGCTTGCTTATAAGACTTGAAGCCACCCTCCCCTGGGACCCCATCAGATTATAGGTGACTTATCTTCCTTTTTCCCTCTCACTTAGACCTCATTACAAGCAGTTAGGATTCTGGGAATGGAAGGGGGCTGCTTATAGTCGGGGAGTGGCAGGAATGAGGAGGCAGGCTCAGCAATCCACAAAACAAAGAATTAGGAAGACATCTAAGGGTTGGCAAAGGACTCAGAACTCAGACCTGTTCAAATTTGAGAGGAAGACAGGAAACCCTCAGGAAGTGGCTCTGCCTAAGGTTCGGAGCCAAACTTCAAAGTCTTCCCACTCTAGTTGCCACGTAACCACAGGTGCCACATCTGTCCTTATACACACCAAGTAACCACCATTTTAAATGAAAAAAATCAGACAAATAAAAATCCCAATCCTGAGCACTCACATGCTCTCTGAAGGCTATTGAGAGGATCACCTGAATCCCACACCTGACACCCTAAAAGGATGGGACATTTTCATTTCGTTCTCAAATGTAGAACAACAATGTACCCCTCACTGCCAGGACTCAGAGCTGCACCTCTTCTGGGACTAGGTGAGTCTCTTAGGCTGGACACTTGTCCTCCACAGTTAGGTTAGAGCACCCCCTGTGGCCACTCTGGAGACTGCAGACCTGGTTATGTTTTCCCATCTTAAGGGTCATAAACGTCAGTTAAAAGAACTTAGTTGGAGCCAAACAACCGTCTTCCGTGTCCAGAGGGCCTAGTCCAGTCCCATGGGGGCTCCACAGCCACCAGTCCACAGTTCATGGGCTTCCACTAGTGTGGTCCGTCATCTCTGCACATCCTCCCATCATGATCTCGACGTCCCTCGCCTGCAGTATCTCTCCTCTCTCATCTATTGGATTCCCGGAACTCAGCCTGGTGCCTGGCCATGGATCTCTGTATCTGCCTCCATCTGTCACTGGACAAAGGGTCTATGATGACAGCTAGGTTATTTGCTAGTCTGGTCACCAGAATAGACCGGTCCAGGCACCCTCTGGACCAATGTAGGGGGATCAGGATCTGTCCCTGGTGCATGGGCAGGCTTCTGGGAATCCGGTGCCTGTGGTGTGACACCTTGCATAGCCTTGGTGCAGTGGGAGGGGCTTGGACCTGCCTAGGCTCAGTGAGCTGGGCTCTGATGACTTCCCATGGGAGACCTCAATTTGGGGGATGTGGGGATGCGGGGTGGCTTGGGAAAGAGGGCTGGGGGTGGGAGGAGGGAGGAGGGAGTTCTGTGGATAGCATGAGGAGTGAGCAGAAAATTTCTTAATAAAGAAAAATAAAATAAAATAAAAAAAGAACTTAGTTGGGAAATTATGGCATTCAGCATCCGACGAACTGATGTTCAAGGAATCAGGTAGGTTTTTCCCATCTACGTCCTTACTTCTACATCTACATTCAGCTCGTGAAAAATCAGTAACTGGCTACCTCTAAACAGAACCTCTGACACCACTGTGTCCACCCAGGATGTGTCAGCACAGTGCCAGCTTGCCCCTCAGAGCCAGACATCAACTCTCAGTTGCTGTATTCCTTTCCAGCACAGGAGGAACCGCTAGAGAAGCCCAGCATCCCCCATCTAACCTGAGCACACTTCTGGTCTATGGTGGCACCTTTCATGTGAACAGGGAAGAGTAGAGGCTAGAAGGACAGACAGATGATCAGAGCCAAGGGTAGGCCAAGTTACAACTCAAATCCCCAGTGCTGGCTAATTTTATGTCAACTTGACACAGGCTAGAGTCATCTGAGAGGAGGCAATCCTAACTGAAAAATGCCTCCATAAGATCAAGCTGTAGGCAAGCCAGGAAAGCATTTTCTTAATTTTTGATTGATAAGGAAGAGCCCAGCCTTGTGGGTAGGGTCACCTCTGGGCTGGTGATCCTGGGTGCTATAAGAAACCAGGCTGAGCAAGCCATGAGGAACAAAGCAATAAGCATCCTCCTCTATGACCTCTGCATCAGCTCCTGCCTTCAGGCTCCTGCCTTGCTTGAGTTCCTGTTGTGGAATAATCTTTTTTCACACTGTGAAGATGTGTCACTTGGATTGGCTTAATTAAAAAAAACAAAAAACTGAATGGTCAATAGCTAGACAGGATTTGGGAGGGGAAGCAGAGAGGACGCTGGGAAGTCGGAGTCACTAGTCAGACACAGAGGAAGTCAGACATGAAGGAGGAGAGGTAAAAGCCATGAGCCACATGGCCACACGTAGATTAATAGAAATGGGTTAATTTAAGTTGTAAGAGCTAGTTAGAAACAAGCCTAAGCTATCAGCTGAGCTTTCATAATTAATAGTAAGTCTCCATTTAGTGATTTGGGAGCTGGTTGGTGGGACAGAGAAAGTCTCACTACATATGGCAGGAAAAAATAGTTTAAAAATAATAATAAAAGTCTTTAAAGAAAGAAGTAAAATAAAAAAATTTTTAAAAAAAGAATAAGTCAGAGAAAGACTTGCTGCAAATGGTATCCAATGTAGGGGTATGTATTTCCACGTAAGACCTGAGAAAGCTTTAAAAAAGGTTCCAAACACACAAAATGTAGTCAAATGTGGCTTCCTAGTCCTCAGTCTCTCATGCAGGCCAGCGTACAGTAATTCCTCTCCTGACCATTGCCTGTGGGCTTGAGACACCAGTGGGCCATGAGCTAAGCTGTACAGGAGCTTAGGTTTTGCTCATGCAACAAAAAAGATTACAGATACACAGTAAAGCAGATTCAGATGGAAAAACCCCTAAACAGGTTACAGTGTGTTTAACAATGTGCATAGGCTTAAGAAAAAAAGAAAAAGAATATAGACAGCCATAAAAATGTTTAAAAATAATAAAGTCTTTAAATAGAGAAATAAAGTAATAAAAATATAGTCACAAAAAGATGGAAAATACACAGAGAATCTGGATTCTGTATGGTGTCTTGTTGAGATTAAATTTTTTTATTATTGATGAGCAGCAAACAATAGTGCTAAGAAACACTGGATTATGGAAACTGCCAAATTAAAGCAACCTATATATTTTTTAAATTTCTTAATTTCAAAATGGAAGTCAAAAAATATGTTGCATTGGAGAAAAAGTTATGCTTTTGTTTCCACAGAAAATAAAAGGCTGTGAATTTGCTCAAGGTTAAAGAGGATCAGGTTTGATGGGGGATTCCAGCACCCACAGACAACAGGAAGTAGTCTGGAGAACCCAACATCCACATTCCCAAGAGGTGGGATGGATTGGTCATTCAGTGGGCTATGGATGTTTGTCATTGTTTAGGGGGGTTGATTACAAATTGTTATTGGTCATGGTCAGAAAAAAAACTTAGCAAAGGAGATTAGATTCAGGGATCTCTTTCTGAAGAGAAAAAGGAGATATAGTATAAAATTGTTGAGATAAAAGTGTGGTTTTAAACAACCACTAGTCTCAAATATTTTACATTGGTATGGATTTTTGTATGTTGATACAAATTTAAGATTATGTTTGTTAGAACATACTATACATCTATTTCTACTCTTGTTTAAGGTATTGTACCTATGTAGTTAATTTAACAATGTAATGTAATTTTTTAGTACTTGAAAGTTATTATTACAAACTATTTAGGCTAATAAAGAAATATAGGCTAATAGTTAGTCACCAATAACCATCAAACTTGTAATCATGTTAGGTATGTTTTCAAGGTCAAATAGAGATATATTTTAGATTAAATGGTCTTCAAACACTTCAAAGACCTACAGAGCATTGCATTTAAAATGTTTTGTAACATAGGGCTTTTCATGAACATGGGACACATCTGTTCCTGGAGTACCAATTTACTTCAGAGAAGATGATGGGCATCAAAGAAACTCCATATAGAGTTTGCTTTCAATATGGTAATACTAACCATTTGAGCAAGAAACTGCTCTTGTCTTGACTGTTGACAATATGCTGTATAAACTGGACAAGCAGGACACAAAGGAAAAAGACTACTGAAATTTGCCAAGATAAGTCAGGGCAGTCCTTCAAAATTCCTGTTTCAGAGAAAAGTCTGCCAGACATTCTGCAGGACACACAGGAAAGTGACTGCTGAACTTTACCAAAACAAGGGAGGGGGATAGTCCTTCAAAATTCCCGTTTCACAGAAAAGTATGTCAGTAATTATTCTAGGCCTGCAGGTCGAAGATAGATGCTCCAGTGTTACAAAGGAACCTTGGGTCACTGCCCAGGCTATCAGATGTCTCTGCCATTTCTTAGTTTTGGAAGTTGCTTTCTATGCACTTCCTGTTTACTCAAGTAATATTTTATCATTCTTAGCTCTCTGATGGACATTGAAGAGTAGATAGTTATAGTTTTACAGTTTTCCTTGTTACCAAATTCAGAAAAGAAACTTACTTAAGAGATGTAAAGTTTATAAGGTTAAAAACATAAAAGCTTAAGTTGTTTCTCTAAAAGGATGTTTTCAGGTCTAAAAAGATATTTTTAGAATGATAATACAAGTTATAATAAAAATGGTTTAGGTATGAAACTTTGGACTTACCAAGAGAGAATAGATAATGAAATATTTATCCCAAATATACCAAATGAAGATAGACTAGACATTGTGAGTGAGATTCTTTTTTTGGGTTATTTTTTTTTCTGGATCTGAGGACCAAACTCAGGGCCTTGTGCTTGCTAGGCAAGTGCTCTACCACTGAGCTAAATCCCCAACCCCTGTGAGTGAGATTCTTGCTTGATGATTGTTCTTTTTGTTTGTTTGTTTGTTTTTGTTTTTTGAGACAGGGTTTCTCTGCATAGCTTTGCGCCTTTCCTGGAGCTTACTTGGTAGCCCAGGCTGGCCTCGAACTCACAGAGATCCGCCTGCCTCTGCCTCCCGAGTGCTGGGATTAAAGGCGTGCACCACCACCGCCCGGCTTGATGATTGTTCTTATTGCATATAGTTTCTTATTGCATTTGTTAGAGTTGATACCTTTCCTTCTTATTCAGACAGCATCTGATAATTGTTCTTATTGTACATAATTTTACTATGTTAGAGTTAAAGCCTTTTCTTTTTACTTAGACAAAAAGGGGGCAATGTGGAATAATCTTTTTGTACACTGTGAAGATGTATCACTTGGATTGGTTTAATAAAAAAGCTGAATGGCCAATAGCCATTCAGGATTTTCAGAGCAGAGAGAATTCTGGGAAGAAGAAGGCAGAGTTGCCAGCCAGACACAGAGGAAACTAGACATGCAGGAGGAGAGGTTAAAGCCATGAGCCACATGGCCACACATAAATTAATAGAAATGGATTAATTTAAGTTATAAGAGCTAGTTAGAAACAAGCCTACGCTACCAGCTGAGCTTTCATAATTAAGAAGCCTTCATGTTGTGATTTGGGAGCTGGCTGGTGGGACAGAGAAAGACTTGCTGCAAGTTCCTGCCCTAATCACTTTGGCTAATGAACTGTGTGAGTGAAATAAACCCTTTCCTCCCCAAGTGGCTTTTGGTGATGGTGTTTCATTGCAGCAGTATTAACCCTAAGACATCCCCTAAGAACAAGAAGCTAGAAGATATTTTAACCTCTAGGTCTCTGCCCTAAAACCCAGAGCCTCACCTGTCAGCTTCTCGGAACATGTCCCTCTCCCTCTGGGAATGGATGTCCTGGATGATAGCAGCCACATTTTTCCCAGGTTTCTAGGCAAAGTCAGAGAGACCATTAGAGAACACTTCAAGTGTTGGGGGGATCAGCTATGACCTGCCTTGCTCACTGCCCAGCCTACCACAGGGGAAACGACATCTTTCGCAGGAATGATAAAGGGGTTGATGCAAAAGATGAGGAGTGTGAGCATGAGGAGGACCAGAGTAGGACGCAGGGTCCGTCCAGAGAGCAAGGCATGGGAGCTATAGCTTAATAAAGCAGATATTTAAAAAAAATAGAACTAAAAACTCTCAATCACAACTGGGCAGGGAGGTGCACACCTTTAATCCCAGCACTCATGAGGAAGAGGCAGGCAAATCTCTGAGTTCAGGACCAGCCTGGTCTACAGAGCAAGTTCTGGGACAGCCAGGGCTACACAGAGAAACCCTACCTCAAACAAAACAAAAAACCTTCTCCATTAACCATGTCAAGTGTTGACAAAGACTTCTATTAAGAAGGCTAATCAATTGCTCTTTTCTTCTGTACCTTTTCCTATGTGACTTACAAAGACTTCCAGAGCCAGACACTAGTGAACATCATGTATCTCCTTCTGGGAAACCTAGGTCTAGTGGACAGAGACTGGAATTCTGCATTCTCAGCAAGGCATGGCTGCTGATCTGCTATCGCTACAGTCAAGGGTAGGTCTGGGAGAAGCACCAAGTAAAGGTGATAACGGAGGAGGGCCTGTCTGTGGTTTCAGAGTCTAGGGACTCGGGGGAAAGATGTAAAATGTTCAAGCCGGGGAGAGACCACCTGTCAGATGTAGACGCAAAGGAAAGAAGGACAAAGAGAAGATTCTGATCCTAGGACATGGAAAAGCAAGGACACAGACCCAGGGAGTCAGCACTAGTTGGGACAGCTAGCCCCAAGAGTACCTCACACCTCAGGCAAATGGTACTTGTATTCAACAGAAAGTATAAACCTTGACACTTTAGAAGCATATGCAATGCTACATGCAAGTACCAGGTTTCCCAGAACACACACTGTCAACTATCTCCATATCTGCTTGAATGGCACCAAAACCTTGCAGAGCCCAAGGCTGTTGGGAAGAGGCCAAGGCTGGGCCAGGGGCTGGGAAGAAAGCTCCTGCCCAGAATGTTTCCTTCCACCCATACTCATCCCAGACAGAGATGTCTGGACTTCTTTGAGCTAGTCTTTCTGCCTTCCCTTAGACGTTGGCCACTGCTTTCATGCAGCCAACACATGACAAACAATGGAGCTTGGGAACACTAATGGGAGCCACCAGGATCAATCACGTCTATGTGACAAGCTATGCGACACCGAGGAGGCCAATTCCAGGTCTCCAGTCTGTGGCTTGTGCTGGAACAATTGAAGAAGGCAGCAGCTGGAGAGTATGTCCCCAAACCAGGCAACTTCTCAGAACACAGTAAAATCCCCGGAGTGGTTTGGACAGGGGCTTCTTTTCGTAAAAAGTTTTAGAGGTCAATGTTTTCTACTCTTGTGGAATTTAGTGCCTTCCTGGTTGTTCCTTTCAGACCCAGGAAAGCAGGGATAAGAAGAGGAGTGTAGCCTTGTAGGGAGCAGATAGAGGAGATAGGTTTTACAGAACTCCCACCGCAGGGCAGCCAGTGTGGTCAAGAAGTACTCAGGCTCCTCTCCTTTCAGGTGCAAGTGCCACAATGCTGTCACCATCTCAGAGAAGTGGAAGTGGAAGAGAATAAAGTCAGTCTATGATGCCATTTGGGATACCTTGTTATTATAGGACAATACACAAGAATGTAGAATGAATGTATACCGAATCCTGTCTAATCTTGTGAGATCTGTATTCTGACCTTCTTTTCCCACCCTTGAAATTCTTTTGAAGCAAATCTCAGATGTCACATCTCTTCCTCTGTTCTATGGTGACATTGATGCATATCAATACCCACATAGGAGGCCAGCACAGTTCTCACTATCCATACATCTTGCTGCTTCTAATACAGGACAAGAGTCTAAGTCCATGGCGATCCCAGGAAAGTGCTTGCTACTGACAGAGAGGGACCAGAAGTTGGAATCTTAACCCTGTGAAAGCTGGTTCTGTCCTCCAACTGGCAGAGTCTGGGGTCACGGCTTATTGAATGTGGGAGACTCACCTTCTACGTCTAGAAAGGCAGAATAACCAGACCTGTTTGGCATTAGTCACCAAAAGCCTCAGGGCATGACCTACAGCACCCTTTGAAAGCTGCTGGGATGGGGGTGGAGTGTAGGTCCTCTGACAGCTCTGCAGAGCTTGGTCTGACCTCCAAAGCCTAGGGAAGATGCTGAAATCTTCTCTATGAGCCTGAAATTCATCAGACCCAGGCTCTACCAGCACAGCCCCAGGTGTTTCTGACATGGTTGGACTTCCCAGCCTGTAGGCCTCCTTTCATTCAGCTTCTGCCTGGAAACTCCCATCTCTGTACAGCTAATTCTCCTACCCTACATGGCCTTGCCAATCAAAGCACAGCCTTCCCCTGGCCACAGAGACTGGTTCGGGGATGGGCACATGTGGTAAATCAGTCCAATCAGAATGACTGTCAGAGGTTTTGTGGGAGTCAGCCTGGTTCTCTCTTACTGAAGGAGACAGGGCGGAACACCTGAAGCTAGAGCTGCAGAGGGTTACCACGCCATCTAGAGGAGAGAGCCTGGGGCTGCTGGGGGCCATCCTATGAAGCACTCAGAAAACAAAGCCATGACAGTAGAAAGCAGAACAGAGAACAACAACATCTTGATCTCATTGGGTGCAAAATCCAGCTGTACCTGCAGTCAGCTACTCCTGCACTTTCATTCAAATGAGCCAAGAAATTCTTTCCCCTACATCAATAGGCTTACTTGCCACAAGTTTCTGTTACATGGAGAGAGAGAGAGAGAGAGAGAGAGAGAGAGAGAGAGAGAGAGAGAGAGAGAATGTGTGTGTGAGAGCTGATTCATGTCAATTTAGAGGCCATAAAGTCTATTACACACAGTTGGAATATGCTGAAGGTCACAATGACCCAGAGGGACATATGACAACATGAGGAGTTGAAAACCCATAGCAAAGGTCAGAAAACAATATGTTCTAGGCCTTTGCCACTTCAAGTGCACTCTTAGGACCAGGAGGGACACACCTCCTGGGGGCTTGATAGAAATGCAGTGACAGCCTTGTCTCAGACCTGCAGAATCTGAACAATTCTGGCAAGAGGCCTGGTGACGTCATGCATCCTGGATTTGGGAAGCTCTGTCAGAATACTGTCTCTCCACTGCACTGCCTGGGGGACTGTGAGCACAAAACTACTGAGTTCCTGCTTTTTGGTTTTGTGTTTTCATGTGGATGGTGGAAAACCTAATAGTGAGATATAAAAAAATACCATATCTGTTGCAAACCCAAAGTAGTCTCAGGGTTTTTTGATTGTTTTGTTTTGTTGGTTGGTTCATTGGTTTTATTTATTTTGTTGTGTTATTGAGACAGGGTCTAGGTCCTAGGGTAGCCCTGGCTGACTTGGAACTCACAAGACAAGGTCAGCTTGGTCTTGAATTTACAGTTCTACCTGCCGTTGCCTCCCCAGTGCTGGGGTTAAAGGCAAACACCGTCACACCCAGCCAACAGTCTCACGTTTTCAACATGGATCGTTCAGTAACTATGATCTTGGGCAAGCTGTGGAACTTCTATTAGGCTCAATATCTTCATCTGTAAAAGCGAGATTATAATACCTGTCTGGCAGGACTGACGTCAAGATTAAAACAGATAATGCATGGAAGGTGCTTAATGTATTACTTGCCCCAGAGGAGCAGGACTCAATTAAAGGTGTACATTATGGTGTACTTTTATAATTACTGTGATTATCCGCCCTGCACACCTCACAGGATAGTGATTGTGAGACTGAAAAGAAAATTGCCTAAAATCAAAGAACTCAAGCACAGTCCTGAGCTGATCTGAGTACTGAGGTTCACAGAGGTTAACAAGTTGGCTCAATGCAGAATGGGGCAGAGCCAGGGCGGTGTCATCCTTTCCCGGTCTGGCATAGGTCACATCTTTGTTGGTTCTTTGTTTCCATGTCTCTCCTCCCATCAGACTAAGTTCCTCACACACTTACTCCCTCCATGCCTGTGGCACCAGCTCGGTTGCCACCCATAGTGGGCACTCGGGAAAACGCTTGCTGAATGCAAGACTCAGACCACAAGACGTCTTGAACAGTAACTCCACACCACCCCAGACTGTCTCCCTCAGTAGAGTGTTACTATGCCTCGGAACTACAAGAAACTACTGTTGTTCGCCCTAATTCAAATCTTATGACATTTCACTTGGAGGCCCAAGCTCCATTGGGAACTCAGTAGAAATTCAATTCCATCCCGCAGGGGGAAACAGGAGCTGGCTAGGTACAGAACAGGGTGGGCTTTTCACCTGTCTCATGCTTTTATTACAGAGAAAGAATCTAGGTTGGGCCTAAAGTGGAACTGTTGGTAAGGAACTCCAGAGGCAGTAATGTAGGCAGAGCAGAGAGGGACCTAGGGCGACTGGCTAACAGGTTACCCTCGCCTGTATGTGCTGACTTGCTGGAATGCTTGTCCTCCACAGCAGATTAAGAGCTGTGAGTTGTGAACAAATTGAACCCCAAGTAAAGATGGAAATGAACTACAAATAAAAATCTTATTAGGTGGAACAGTAGAAAGCCTAAAATAAGAGGGTAGTTTTAAACACCAATACGGCAATAATCAACCCAAACAGACCAAGTACTCCAGTTAAGAGAACAGCAAATCAACCAGAAGACACAATATAAAAGAAAATCACAGGCAGATAACTTGGAAATAAACTTCCCACAAAGAAAATCAGAGCCAGTAAACATGGAAAAAAGTACTCAACCTTATAAGTACTTCATCAGGAAAATACAAAATAAAACTGTGATAAACCAGAATACTGCACCCACCCCCAAACCCAAATTTAAAAGTCAGACAAGTTAAGGTTAGCAAGAATGTGGAACACTACAAAGCCTCATATTCTACGAGGAGAATGTTAGACTGTGACAAAAAACACTTTGGAAAGAGCTCAGTCACCTAGCAGAGCTGAGGCGAGCCTGCCTGGTCATCTAGCAATTCCAACCCTAGTGATCCCTGTACCACCTAGTTAGATGCCCCTGTGCATTTGTACCATGATAACATGCTTGACAAGTAGATTAACACTTACGTTAATATCCACCAACTGGGAACAACCTAAAGTCCATGAGCCATGAGATAGATACACAAATGGCAGAGCCACGAAACACCATTTTATAGAACAATGAAAATCGACATGGAAGATAAAATGTTGAACAGAAAAAGCAAGACAACGTGATTCCCTTCATATCATGTTTAAGAATGGGCAAAGCTAAACATGGCTTAGGCGGCATGAACAGGGGCTAGAGCTAAAGCAACCGCACAGGAATGATTATCCTTGGAGCCAGGAGAGTGGAGAAAGAAGAGCCGAACAGAAGGAGGGCCCCACGGACTTCTGGGTATTGGCCATATTTTATTTCTTACCTGTTGTGGTCCTTTTATGAGATGTATGAGATCTACTCAAGATTAGTATTAAATTGCAACTAATTAATTCTATACAGATTATACTACTCAAGAAAAAAAAGGAAACGAAAAGAAGAATGCAGAACAAGCTAAAACGAAACCAAAGTTCGCTTTGAGACTGACTGAATACATCTGAGTTCTGAGAGTGGACCAGCCAAGTGTTTCTTAGAAGGACTTATTCGAGCTTCAGACACCTAAAATATGGAGAATGGAAAAGAGACCAAGAGACCAAGGGGGATGCTGGAAGAAGAAAATGTATTTAGAGCTCTGAATGCACCAAGAAGTTGTATTTAAAGGTGGAATTATCCTCATCAGAACACAGCCAGCCTTCTTCCTCCTTCAAGACTTCTGTCTTGGTCTTTCCCTAGCTCCCAACTAGTCTAAAGCACTTCTTTCCTCTTGTACTCACTTCAGTGCTCAGTGAAGAGTTTTCTTTTTTATATATTTTTATTTATTGATTGAGATTTCACACATGTATTTTTGTTATAGTCTTTGCCTCCCCTCCCCCACCTC